CATAATTGGTCGACGGAAAATGGAAATGGGCGCGCACGAGTTCCCGTAGTTGAAGCTAAACCACCAGAGAGACGGCGTGGAATAAGGAACCGTCATGTCGCTGCACCGGCAAATATAGATCATGGAATTCAAGAATTTGGGGCAGTTGTAGGTGAAGTCCAAGCACCTGTTCCTCTACAAATCCATGCTCCTATGCCATTTCAGAGACAACCTGACATGCAAGGGCTTGCAGTATCGGCATCGAACGTGCAAGCTCTATTTGCGCCGGTTAAGATACCAACTCCTGTACCAATGCCTAATCAAAATGGTGAGATAAATAATGATCCTATGCTTATACCTAATCAGTCAGAATGTGATGTTTACATATCTCAAAATTTGAAGAAAAAATATGGAAAAGAGAATTTATTGACTTGTCATTACTTCTTTATCAAAATTTTGTCTGTCAAATTGACAGACCTCAAAATGTTATAAATTATGATTACACAGCCGGTTCACTAGTCATCACATCAAACAAAAACAGCAAAGTTAAATCCATTCAAAATATTGAGCCATGCACTGATGCATTTATTAATGATATGAAGATATTTTGTAAACGTTTTCCAAATTAAGCTACTGAATTGACTACTTATATGTCAATTATTAGAGGTACAAATGTGTGTTTTGAGAAGATTTATCGTTATGACCAGCAATTTAGGTTGAGAATGGCAAACACAATCCTACAAGATCCTGGTATTCCATTGTTGGCATTTTTTATGGTACACTGACATAGCAAATGGGGAACCGAAATGTAATACAATTCACCAGACAAGTGTAGGTAATCAACCATGCTATGATTATAATTTTAAGGGAGCTTGTTATCGAAAAATTGTTTAACACCCATTTATGTTTGAAATGTGGAATGGCCCACTCTTTCGCTTTCTGTCCACAACAAATAAATAAGAATCAGAGCTATCCTCGTGTTCCAAAAGTAATCGGGGGCACATATCAAAATACAGCAAGACCTACTAGAAATTTTGCACCTAGGACTCAAACACCTTTTCAAAGAGCAACTAATTAAAATCAAGGATTTGGACCTCTTGGAAACCGTGTAAGACCAAGCAATTTATTGATTGTAATCCAAATGAGTACAACACACATTCGTTTCGAATACGTGCAGCAATACATTTTGCAATGAATGTGATATGGTCATACTGATGAAAAAATATTGAATTTAGGTCCTTGGAAATCTGAATCCTTTAAACGTTATAAAAGAATTTAGCTAACAAACTAAATTATATTTTCTGCATGTCTTAGTAATGAAATATGGATTGTTGGTTCTTCAGTGATCATGATCACTCGGAGAACAGACCTTAAGGTAGTAACCTAGGTCTCTTAAAAAGTAACAATTGTTTTTTTTGTGCTGGGCAGGCAAGTCTGGTATGAAATGGGATGGTGTTGTTGGTATTGTTTACAGCTTAATCAATTTATGCATCAAAATTCCACAAGCTTTAATATTAAATTGTGCTAGGAATTATATTAGAAATGTACCATGTGGTGCTCTCTTTTATCACAAAGAATTAACAATAGCAATTTTGTCTCGTATGCTCATAAAATGCTCACTTATATGGTCAAGCATTCTCCCCCGGCCTTCGTAGCGTAACTCAAATGATGCCCTTGCCATGGAAGTTACAAGAAAAAAAAATAAACAGGGGAGTGAGGTCTTTTATACTTAAACATGGAGGACATGTGATTAAATAACCAGATTTTGACGACCGTCATTCAGCCCTATAATCTGACGAAGGAGTACATTCATCATTTATTGGAATTGATATTTTTTTGGATCAAATACAATCATCACTAGAAATCACATTGTTTTGTATTTCCTCATGATCACTTGTAATCTAACATAAAACATAATTCATATTGACACTCAATGAAAATACATGGTATTTTGTGAAATTTGGTTGATGTGTAAAAGTTGGATACACAATATCTTTGATTATTTTGATTGTTTGAAATATTGTTAAAAATGCTCATAGCTTGGGTGAATGTTGTGGCAGATTATCGTTCTTTTTTTATAGTCCGGATGATAATTTTGGTGAAATTTACTTCATTTTATGCAGACTATGGATAGCCCAGCTGCTACTTCTGAAATATTGTTGAGTGGACCACCCTTCAGTACATCAGTTTTGGATCGCCCAGCTATGATACAGTAGTTAGTTCAATCGTCATCAAGATTTTACTGGTTGACCAATAATTTGGTTGTGTAAAACAAATCAAGTAATCAATTGCAGCTGTTAGTAAATTTTGATAATTGGATAATTAACATCAAATGATTACTTTGATCAAATGATCAATTCAATAATAGAATTTAATTAAATGAAAATTAAATTTCTATATTGAATTAACAAAAACGTGTTTTGATAGACTTGACAAGTCGAGTCACCTTTACTCCTATTGTATGCTAATTTGAGCATGTGTGAATTGAGCCCTAAAACTCCGTGCATTTTAACAGTCACTTATACTTTGAAAACTAAACAGGGAAGACGTTGTAAAATTTATACCCACCCTCTGCCACCCTTATAAATTGAACTTTGTTTGCTGCTGTTCTTATTTATTTCTAAGATGCTCCAGTCTGTATACCTCTATCCATCATGGTAACACACTGAAGTATATTCACTAAACCGGAGCGAAATTTACCTCATTTTATGCAGACTATGGATAGCCCAGCTGCTACTTCTGAAATGTTGCTGAATGGTCCGCACTTCAGTACATCAGATTTGGATCGCCCAGCTGTGATACAGTGATTTGTTCAATCCTAATCAAGATTTTATTGATTGATAAATGATTTGGTTGTGTACTGATGTTGTTGTTGTTTGAATGAATTTTGATTAAATGTTGCCATGACAATTCAATATCCAAAACAAAATCAGTGTTTGTTATTTGTAGCAGTGAAATACAAATAAAGTCATCGATAGCGTTTGTTCGTAAATTTTGATATTTGGGTTATTTACATCAAATGATTACTCATATCAAATGATATATTCAATAAAGTTTACTTATTTTGTAATATGTACTTATCATAAACTTAACGTTTGAAATTGATACATCAATAAACATTTGAAGAATGATGTTGCTAGATTCTGAGAAAAATATTGAAGTTTAGTTAAAATATTGAATAAATAATGGTAATTAAAATCCATTCCATACTTTAAAAATTGTTTCAAATTCTGTTTTAAGCTTTTGCTACATGATATACGATTGCTTATCAATTATAAAGCATCAACATATTTTTATTTCATCCGTTTTATCGATTTTACGGTTTTGATTTCGAATAAAATACAATTCTCCAGGATTCATAGGGATAAGAGAGATACCGGTATAGGATATACTGGACAATATTATATAATACTATACATTTTTCTCTTAAAGACAATAAAATAGAAGGTACAGAGAATGCCATGCAAAAAAGATCAGCAAAAAATACATAGTATGGTAGAGGTGAGCTAACACTGGTGTAGTAAGAGTTACAATATGAAGACAATATGGTACTGTTATTTAGCCAGAAGGACCAATTTCCTCGTTCATCATTTAAATAAGTTACACAGTCTTTTAAGAAAAGACGTTTCTTCGCGTTCAACAGTTTCTCAAGTTTTGTAGAATACATTTGAGGGACAGGAAAAAAGGGGTAAGTGCAGTACAGATCATTCTAATGGTAATCGTCTCCTATCTCTGATCTGTCGCAAAGTGTGCATTTTTGCTCTGATCTATCTACATTAGTCCTTCCACCTCTTTGGATTGGTAATTTACGGCTTAATGTACCAAATTTTTAACATCTTTATTTAGAAGTGTTAATAATCTTCAAAGGTTAAATCATTCTTGAAGCTTTTACAAATCAAACATTTAGGGGTGCTTTGAATTTCCGAAAGGTATGATGTTTTGATGCAAAATGTGCATTTTCTCTCTGATCTTTCTACATTTGTCCATTGATATTTTTCGATTGGTAAATTGTGATTTAGTGTCCCAAATTTACTCCAAAAAATTTGAAACATCTTTATTGCAAAGTATTTAGAAATAATCTTCAAATGTTAAATCATTCTTGCAGATTTTAAAAATCAAATATCAAGGGATGTTTTAGGATTTTCGAAAGCAATGATTCCTTAGATGGATCTGTAATTTTACCACTGCAAGTAACAATTTTAGTTAATTGTCATTTTGTAGAAAGAAAATATTTCAAAAACCGCATTCTTTAAATATTCCATTTTCATTTTGTTCTCGAATTTTTCCCTGGTTATTAGTTGTGCAGTGGTGAAGTGACAAATATAAGTGTCACTCTGAGTTCTTACTTTTGTCTACAAATGCTACGTGCTTACAGGCGAAACAAAATGCCATAAATTGACTCGGCCGGTAATTTATACCACAAATTAACCTCTCGTGTAATCGATGGCAGCATGCTACCAGAAGAATGTCGGACTATAAAAATATGACTGAGGATTTAACTGTGTTGTCGAATAAATACTATTGCAATTCAAGTTGAGTTATTTTGTCCCTCATAAGATCACTAATTAGCTCTTCGTTGTCCACATTGAAACAATCGTGGCCTGACAGCATTGTATTGATACAGAATCTTCTCACTTCCCTCACGAATAAAATTTCACAAGCACCAACAACAAATACCCAACAAAACAGCATCTTTCATGCAGAAAAATTTTAACTCACCGAAAAAAAACCCCGAAAATTTAAGAAAATTAAGCAAAGAAATGCTTACAGTTGTTTGCGTGAGTTTTTGTTTTTTGTTTTTTTAAAAGCAGTTCAAATGATATACATCAGTGTAAACAAATGAATACCCAGATTTTAATGAAATTGGTTTCATATTTACTATTGGCTTTATTGATTCTGGAAGTAATGGAAATCTTGTTGGTGTATCAAGTTTAAGCTTCAAAATTAACTGGCATTATAAACAACCAATAAAAACTAGACACCAAAGTGCACAGCTACAGCGCAATGATAATATTAAAGTCAATTCAACTGTATATAGTCAACAAAACACAAGTAAGCAGATAAGATCCCACGTGAAGAAATAAGTTTAAATAATGCCATTGAATTGAGAGTTACAATGTTGGTACACTTTTCTAAAATTTTCATTTCAATGTTGATTATTAGCACTATTGAGGGAATTTCATTTAACATCACCGGTTCTTCGTTTACCAAAAACAAATATAGTGACTCGCATGTAATCTTGGCCTTTGACAAAGTTGGTCCATTGATGTGCGTAAGTTACTGCATGATGTACAAGGGGTGCAATGCTGTGAATTTTAACAGAATTCATTTAGAATGTGAATTGCTGGCTGTTTCCTTTCCTGGAGACAACATAATTGATATGGAGGGCTTATTCTATACGGACATGGGTGGCTGGAAGAAGGTAAGTTGGTGTCATTTAAGATTTGTATTTTTTCCATATCATATTATTTCAATTAGTTCATCGGACGCAAAGGCACAGATCCATATATATAGTATGTGGTGGTAACAATGCGCTTGAAAGATAAATATTAATCAGTTTTTGTTTTGTTTTTTGTTTGTATTTTTATTTGTTGGTTTTGTCATGATTTGTTATTTTTTTTTTATAAATGTGTTACCTTTAATGTAGGAATGGAAATTAGGTAGAGATAAAGAGCCGAACTCTAAATCAAAGCTATTAAATTTCAAGCTTAAATTTCTTAATCCTTTTAAACAACAAACATTCGAGGTAAAAAAAGTATTTTAAATCCATATCAAATATTATCCTTCAAATGATCATAGGACACAGTCTCATAGATATCGATATCCATGATTTAGAATTTTGAACATACATATTTGCTTCTATGCGCTCAAACTCCTTATATATGAGGATGACAGCAAAATCTGCGATAATAACCTCGTTTTGAGATCTTATTACTAATACTTAATTATCAGCAACAGCCATTATCAAAAATATTTTTTCCTACATGATTGTCTTATACGATCTTATACTACTCATGAATTGAATATATTTTTGGGGAAGGCGTTTCCTCATATAGTATTTGATCCAATATATGTGTTAAATGACCATAACAATTTTGAAAGTCTTTTGACGTCAGTTATTGTGTTATCACAGATGACATTCTAAACCATAAAAACTTGTTTTACCTCCCATCATACAAACAGCATGTAAAAATCTAGTTCGTACAGTTTTCCTAATGTAGACAATATTTTGTATATTTAAAGGATAAGGACCGATGCACTCCAAACCCATGTAAAGATGGTCAAAAATGCATTTCCGCCATAAACAATAAGTATATCTGCCTACCATTTGGTAAGTAACATTCATTTGATTAAAGAGGAACCCCAACGTTCTCTCAAGTTCGCGTTTTGTGAGGAGAGAAAAGTAGCATTTTGTAGATCAACATTTTATACTTAATTACGTAATTACGATAAAAAAAAGTGTCCCCTTAATTGTAACGAAACGAATAATGGAAATTTTGGTCGATGCCCTCTCGTTCATCACGTATTGACCTTAAATGAATCACGTTTTCGGCTCATTTGTAACAAAAAAAAATCATCACGGTTCACGCTTATTTTTATTATTCCCCACACGTTGTATGATTTCAGTATCAACTGGCTTCATTTGCATACGTAGATGGGTCATTCAGGAGAAGTTTTGTCGAAACATAAAAGTTATGTTAAGTTTGAATATACTAATACATGTACATGACCTGAGGATAGACGACAACATTTGTTTTGCAAATAATTGAAACGTAAAGATCATGAAAAGCAAACAAGAGGCGCTCAAGAGCCTGAATCGTTCACCTTTAATTTTTTGCTTAAATATTCATCAATGATTATTTTTGCTTTTCAATATATATTAATGAGTGGCTTAAAAATACCATTTAAGTGTTCTTTGTATCTGTCATATTTTCTGCAAAAGCAAAAAAAATGCATTTCACCCCAATGTTCCATTTTAGCCATAGTGGCTATGTTTCTTGACGTACAAGGAAATAAAATACAAAATTTATACTAGATACTCTGAAACTCATTTAGCCCAAGTTTGGCTGAAATTGATTCAGCAGTTTCAAAGGAGAAGATTTTTTAAAGTAAGCAAACTAGATGAACAAATTGTGAAAATTGTCTTTAAAGGGCAATAACTCCATAAGTGGTCAATTGACAATTTTGGTCATATAAAACTTATTTGTAGATCTTACTTTGCTGAACATTTTTGCTGTTTACAGTTTATCTTTATCTAATAATATTCAAGATAATAACCGAAAACTGCAAAATTTCCTTAAAATCATCAATTCAGGGGCAATAACCTAAAAATCTGACACCCGATTTGACTGATAATTTCAGGGCAGGTAGACCTTGACCTAATCAATACTTTAATGTCTTGTCTGATTTGCTCTAAATGCTTTAGTTTTGAGATATAAGTCAAAAACTTTATTTTACCCTATGTTCTATTTTTAACCATGGCGGCCATTTTTTCTGGGGAAACAGAAAATAAAACACAAACTTTATTCTAGATAACCTAAGGATCATTCAGTTTAAGTTTGGTATAATTTGGTTCTGTAGTTTCAGAAGAGAAGATTTTTTAAAGTTAGAAAACATGATAACAAATTGTGTAAAATTGTCCTTAAAGGGCAATAACTCCTTAAGGGGTCAATTGACAATTTTAGTCATTAAATTTATTTGTAGATCTTACTTTGCTGAACATTTTTGCTGTGTACAGTTTATCTTTATCTATAATAATATTCAAGATAATAACCAAAAACTGCAAAATTTCCTTAAAATTACCAATTTATTGGCAGCAACCCAACAATGGGTTGTTAGATTTATCGGAAAAATTTCAGGGCTGATAGAACTTGACTTAATGAACATTTTTACCCCCATGTCAGATTTGCTTCAAATGCTTTAGTTTTTGAGATATAAGCCAAAAACTGCATTTTACCCCTATGTTCTATTTTTAGCCATGGCGGTCATGTTTTTTGACGAAACAGAAAATAAAACAAAATCTTTATTCTAGATACCCTAAGGATCATTCAGCTTAAGTTTGGTTGGAATTGGTTTAGTAGTTTCATCAGAGAAGATGTTTGAACTAGTTTACACCGGACGGACGACGACGACGGACGACGACGGACGCCAAGTGATGGCAAAAGCTCACCTTTCCAAAGCTTAAAAGAGATATCGAAAATTATACTGCAAGTCATTACAAATTTCAATGCCACAGGGCATAAGATTTCATATTTTGAAGTTTTCTGAAAATCCTGACACGTATATATATTCTAGCAACAGAAGGCATTTCGATGCAAAATTACAAGTTTTACATGATTTTGTATAATATTTCTATGAAAAAGTATAACAAAAATACCGATCTCCAAGGTAGATTAAAAAATGGTAAAGTCCATAAAATCATCCTTATAAAAATGATTTTTTTCAAACCGAAAGACAATAGAATTTTGTTTTTTGTTTAAGATTGTCCTTTTTACACATTTGAAAAAAAAATACTTTAATTTTGCAAAATTTTGTCATAAGTGCAGTTTTGAGCTATCTTCAGGCGTTTATAATTTGGTTATATATATAAAAGTTAACCATACTACTGCGAGAACCTCAGGGTACACATATTGAGCTGTGCACTGAAATGAAGGTAGATATTGTTTTTTTTTTAAATGGCTCTGATGTGAAATTAGTTTAGGGGTAATTGACACTCATTCTCGATTTCAAGGGCCAAAACTGTTCGCGAGATTAAATCATTGTGTTTGATAATATTTTTTTTATCTTTGATTCGGATCAATTTTACGCGCTGGGATATTTTATAGACGCATGGACGAAAATCCACTTTCAAATACAATCTTAACGGTTAAATACATGTAAGATTGTCATAATAATTAAGTAACGTTAGCAAACAATTGGTTTCAATTAGTTTCCAATAAACTAGTTAGGGCAAATCAACTTCGTTTTCTTGACGACACGAAATTGTATTATTCTAAAAAATATTTTACAAGAACAAAAGTAAAAACGCAGTGGAGCCAAATACATTAAAAAAAAATTTTCGAATCCAGAATTTGTTTTGAGTTGAAATATAAACAGTTTTACGGTGATCATATATTATATTGCACCATTATATAGACTTTTTTTGCCAGTTTTGATGAATAGATAGGTATTTCAACAAATGACGCCTATGCTTCGATGATGCTCTTCTTTTATTTTTTGTATCTGAAACTTAAAACAAACGTTGAAGAGACGGATATGTTTTTTTTTATATTCAAGATGCACCTTGCGACGTTAGCCCTTGTCTAAATAATGGCATATGCAGAAACATTGTCAACGATTACAGGTGTATGTGTCCGAATGGTTACTATGGCGATCAGTGTGAAAGTAAGTATTTCTAGTAAAAACATTTTCGTAGCTTTAATTACAATTAGAAATATTTGAAGGGAGAGGTCGCATTATTAAAGAGTGTTGTCTTTATCGCAAAGGAACAACAGTAGATCATCATATTATAGTATATCAGCCCTATATTCTATTTTAGATAAACCTTGCGACGTTACCACTTGTCGTAATAATGGTGAATGCAGAAACATGGTCAACGGTTACATATGTATATGTCCGGAATGTTACTATGGCGATAACTGCGAACGTAAGTATTTCTAGTTTATCCATATGTTTTAGCTTTAATCGCCACAGTAATATAATACTTTCATGCTTCATTGACTTTTGGATAAATTAATTAGGTACTACAATGCCATAAGGGTGCAGGAAATTTGTGTAGTCCAGCCTGCAATGATGTATATGTAATAACTTTATTCCGACACTAGCTTAAGATTCAAGCGGAATCACGGTCAAAAACATTACCATCGTCCTAATGTACAAAAGTCTTCCAAATCTATACCACTCACTGGGAGATTTGCTGACCTTCTTTCACATCTCCCTCATCCGCCTGAGTTAAATTACATTCGTACCATTCTTTTGTCACTGCCTGTAAAATTTTTAAAATGTTTAAGAGATTATGCCCTTGACAAAGGATGTATAGATATGTTTTCCCAAATATACTGACTAGTAAGTATTATTTTCCGTGCATCTAAACCTGTAAGATCAGAACCATTGCACGATGAAAATAGGAAATTCCGTCCAATTCAATTTTTTCAAATAAATGAATCGACGCTATCAACATCAGCATCCTTCTTCATCTACAAAGGAATTGTCCGTTAGATTAAAAAAAAATTGTCCGCAGTGAAAAAGAAATTACAGAAATACTGTGACACTGTTTACTCGCGTACTGTCTTTAACCATATGTAGATTCTTAAGAACTCAAAAGAACGATTTTTCTTCGCTTTACACCACCATACCACATGAAAAATTGAAAACGCGTCTTAAAGAAATAATCCACAATGCTTTCCTCCATAAAAATGGTACAATACGCTTAAAATGTGTTGTTTTGAGATACAGTTTTCTCCGCATAATTTCTAGACATTTACCTCGAATTTGACAACAGCGGTCATCTCAATACCCGAATTTATGACAAACAATACGATTTCCATTTTGAAATTATAAATGTTCCTCAAATTAACAGCAATATACCAACTTCACTCGCGTATGAAATATACATTTCTCAACTCATACGATAGTCAAGACCTTGTAGCTGCTACTCAGACTTTATAAAAGGTTATCGTTGTCATGGCAAAATATTAATGAGCGTCTCGTCCTTTTTATAAAATAATTCATCGAAAAGTACCAAACATAATAGATACATATTCAGTGTCTACTTCATCAATAATATAAGACGGTCTTGAGTTATAGATTCTAGGTGCTGAAGTTGTGTATCGTTTTATCTTACTCTTAGTTTAGTTTCTCCGTTATTTGTCTTCGTGCTATTATGTTTCTTTTGGTCTTATGAATTTGACGTGACTCGGTATTTATGCTCCCCGCCATCGGGTTTTTTACTTTTTCAAGTTTGACATCCCTGGTGCTTGTGGGTCCTGGTGTGCGATTCGGACACAAAGGGTTATTACAGTGTTGTTTCGATTTTGTTTACCCTTGTATTTATTAATGTCTCTTCAATGTGTTAGGAATCGAAACGGTATTTGGAAGGCCATACAATTTACCTCAATTTAGGATAGACTCTTGAATTTTGAAGAGTCGAAATAGGATGAACGGATCATATAAACCCGAAGGCAAATATAATACAAATAAAATTGCGGTTTTATCCAACGCAATCATAGGTTTGAACGTTGTTTTCAATTTAGACTTGTTTATATTTTTTCGTTTGCGCTTGTATTATATTTGCCTTTATTGCAACTTTATTTGGGTTTATATGATCCGTTCATCCTTTTTCGACTCTTCACAATTCAAGAGTCTATCCTAAATTGAGGTAAATTATATGGCCTTCCAAATACCGTTTCGATTCCTAACATCACTGAAGTGACATTAATTGTCGAAATCCGGATATGGTGTACAAATTTTTGCTCCTCATGTTTGCGGTATACCATCTTTTCCGCAAGTTTATTGTTTTCTGTTTGGTATTAAATCAATAATAAAGATCAATTTTGTTATATCTTGTGATCCGTTTATTTGGCAATCGCCAATGGCAGTCTGCAGGGTTTAAGAACATCCGTTGTTCGACCTGTCAGTCAAATGCGTTTTGTTTAAATATACTTTTTCACTTTTTTAGTCTTTTGGAAAATGTTTTTTTGTGCTGTACATATATATATATATATAATTTAAAAACGATTGATGCAAATAAACTCCTTAGCAATTGTTATTACTCGAATATTATGAACTTCAAATATTTGCAATAACTTGATGATTTAACAATGAATGTGTTAATACGGTAGACAGCATGATTCTTGATTTTTCATCTAATTGAAAGCAACCATTTTATTAGATATTAAAGCAAAATTTAAATGCATGATTTCATATGTAGGAAATATCACATTTAATATCTTTATTCTTCCGAAGAAGGATTACAATGCACGCTTATACATTTAAAACGAGTGATAATGTAAATGAACCGGTGAAAAAACACAAGGTAATATCAATGTATGATTTCAAAATATTGTTTTATAGAGAATTATAGAAACCTTACAGGCTCTTCAGGTATACTTAGTTCTCCGAACTACCCAAACAGTTATACGAATAACCTACAGTGCAAATATTTTATTTTGGGACAAGCTGGACAGGAAATAACCATTACATTTTCTAAAATTAATACAGAAACAAACTGTGATTACATTAAGGTGAGAGTAAATAGCAAACATAATGTATCAGAATTCTCAGTGTTTCCTGTATAGATAGTACAGATGTATCATCTTTAATCAAATATTGATGTGACCTACTGGATAAGTCTTATGTACTCGACGGTTGAACCATGGAAAGCAGTAAATGCTTACCCTTCCGAAATACATAATATCAACTCGATATTTTGGTTGATATCGCCTTGCTCGGTCTTAAGGAGGCTCGAGGGAACAAAAATTTCAGCAAAATTTTAAACATTTTTTTTCATTACAAATTTTATTTATTACACTGTAAGTTGTTACTTTATGATATGGTTCAAAAATCAACCAAAAAAAAAATCGATTCGTTTTGGCCCCATATGACTTTTAAAATGTTTATATCATTGAAAAAGCTCCATATTATCTTCCTTTGGTGAAAAAATGCATTTTTTTTTGGCATTAAAATTGAAATATCTTTTTTTAACTCATCGGTGACCTATATTTTTTTATTATTTATTTTCAATAAGCTGTGCTTAAACTACACAATTGTAAAGTTTAAGCAATTTCTGTAATTTAGTTCTTTTTTTATTTCGATATTACCTCTATTTCTCCCATTAGTTCAACAGAAAAAAAGATCCTTAACAAAAATGCATGCTTCTTTCAAAGGCAGATTGTGAGCTTCAATGAACGGTGACCCCATTTTATTTTTCTATTAAGTATATGATAAAGTTCATTTACAGAAAAAAATATCGAAATCCTATACTTAAAAAAAAATGATTTATACCCTCGAGCCCCTTAAGTTTTTTATGCTGTGTTTTGAGGATTGTTGTTTGTCTTTTGGTCGATTTTCTTTTTTTTGCCATGCCATTGGTTTTGATTTATTATTTTGAATATCCTTTTGGTATATTCCACCTCTTTTTACTTATTCATTGAAATGTATCACTGTTAAGTCATTGAGTCATAAATTAAAGCAAAGTTCGGTTGATCGGAAATAAATTAAGGAGATGTTTGGTATATACCACCCAATTGAGGTAACAGTCAAAAACATCTACAGATCATATTAATCAATAGCTTTATATGGACTTGAGTTTGACCTAATATTGCTCGTACAAGGTTTTTTGAATAACCATGCATTATTTAACAAAAACTGTTTACAATTAGATTGTATCTTGTATCAATCAAAATAGTTACACGCAAGAACTGTGGGACTATTTTAAGGACACACTCGAAAGAAGTGTAAATACAAACATACTACAGAAACTGCCAGAAGAAATAACGGTAACCTTATCAAACGCCTCATTTAAAAGCAGGATAAACAGATTTTCAAGTTTTCCTTTCATTACATAATGGTTTTACTTCTTTGTCTTTTCAATTTCTGTTCATTTGGTCTTTTGTATTAGCAAAAGCTTATTAAAGAGCGTATTTTGCAATCTCATATTTAACACACAGTTGTGATATATGCATATGATTTAACAATCTAGACATTTTTTTCTCAACAGTTGCTCTTAAGTTCATTGATAAGAGGACTACTATGGAATAATTAGAACTGGAACTATGGTATTCAGTCTAACAACGAACGAAGCTAATTAATAGGCTTTCTTAACTGTTGACTGTGTTGTTTTTGTATCTTTGATGTTTGGCTTCACCTTTATGAAATAAAAGTGTGTACGGACAAATGGAAATTTTTAACGACCTTGACTGGCTATACAGCCTTTGCACAGTCGGATATTCTATTCAGCCAATTATAGGTGGTGAAAAGAATCGCCATTTCGAACATGATATTGAATTTCCGTTAATATTAAGAAACTACGGCTCAAAGGACATTAGAGAATATTAAGGCAAAATTTTATTTATGTCTGATTCCATATGTAAGTTTTCGAGATATTTGCTAAAACGAACGTGTATACTACTATTAGAAGTCGAATAATGACTTTATTATGTTTGACCTTTGTAGATCTTGGTTTGCAAGTTATTTTACAAAGGCGTTTTGTATATTAAACTTCGCATGAAAATTGCTAAATATGAAAAAAGGGCAAAGCTATTTATTGATTGATTGATTGTTGTTTCCTCTCGCTCACTGTTAAGTATGTCATACATTTTTTGGGACTAGAGGAAATTGACAATTACTACGAAAGGTAGGTCCTGCAATATTGATAGGGACCGAGATAATGAACAGGAAATTTGGAATATTACTTTATTATTTTATTTTCAAGATAATAGTAAAAAAAAAAACACTCAAAAATGGACTAGTATTGATTTTTTTTTTTAATGTTCTCGCTATCTATTAAGAACGTTTTGTGTTAAAATCGTCATAGGAGGGAACAACTCCTATAAAGAGTCGTCACAAGCCGATTCCAGCATGTACTGTTTGACTTGTTTGACTTTTCACTCTTGCCGAACATTGTCATAATAATATCCAATCATACAAAAAAAATCTTCATTATAGGGTAATACGAGGGAGTCGACTTATGATTTCGGTCATTGACTACTTTGCCGACCTATGTTATATTTTGTTAACTTATTAAACTTTAATTGTTATATTTTGTGTATTATTCAGGTCTTTGAAGGATTAAGTATTTCAGATCCACTGTTATTTGAATATTCTGGGTCCAGAAATAGCAGTTTTACAGTCCATTCAAAAAGCAAAACCATGCTCGTGTTGTTTACATCTGATCACAGTGCTACCCGCAGCGGATTCACTGCCACATATTTTTTGCATTCATGAAGTAACGTTTTGTCTGAATATTTTCATTTCTTTTTTTGAATTTGATCCAATTATATAAAATCAAGTTTGTTATAGATCAGTTATTTCTTGTGTATAGCTATCTATGCGGATTTTTAAAATGTACATAATACATCAACAGACAAGTTGTATCGATATAAAAATATAACTTGGTGAACACGATACAAAGGCAGAATTTATATCTTTTCGACTAAATACATGTGCAAAGTAGCTGTAGCTAAATGAGGAATCTTTGTTGCTATTTAAACCTTAAGCTAAACTTCTGTCTGTCTCTGAGAATTGTGTTTGAACATCCTTGATAATATAAGAAAAGTATGATTGTATCTTGTGCAGCAATATTAATCTGAAGATAATTACTAACAAAATCTAATTTTGGTCAATTTTGGAGTTTGGGCATAGTCCACATTTGCATTCAAGACATTGATATAAAAATCTGTATAATCAAAATAAAATTCCCTTATAAACCATTTTATTTACAGACTGACTGAGAATGAGAACAACCACACAATACCATTGATATCTACCAAGTGTTTGAAATATAGTCTATTTAAAGGTTCCCTATCTAAAAAAGTCATTGTTTTTTAATTGATGCTGTTCTTTGGCTTGGTTGACCCTGTGTTGTTATTTCTTAGACTCTGATTGCCCAATTGAATTTTCCATAATTCTTTAACTTGCAAAGTGTACAAACATGAACATACTTGCAGTAAGGTTTAAAACAACTTCGAGACCAATTAGAATTGTTCCATAACTGATGACCCTCATGGTATACAATATCACGACATAAAGTGTCAGATCCTTTAAAACTGGTTCTCTGTAACTATTTAAACTCTAACATAGGTAGTGTGGCACGCATGGTCATGGATTTTCTTCAAACTTCACACACTTACTAGTCTTGATGAAACAAACAAAAAAATGGCAAAATTTGGTTGCTAAGCATATCGGTTGCCGACCAGTTTTACCTCTTCTGGATATCTATGATTTTAAGCTGAAAAAGGCTATTTTCAACATAATTTTTCATAATAAATGATTAAAAGAAGGAATATTTTTTTATGATTTTATCAAATATATGCATTTTATCAATGTAATTTATTAACTGATATTTTCATATTCATATTCAATCATAATCACATATACCCCCCTTTTTATGTGGTTTGCATTAGGTAAAAAATACCCCTTTGAGGTCATTTTTGAATGCTCACCATAACTCTTTGAGGACACCTGAGTTAAATTCAACCATGAATTCATAAATACCATAGTCTTATCTTATCATTGATGCGAAAAAGCAATGGGGAATTATGTCTCATTTTTTGTTACCATGTATACAAAATGCTTAGTTTTCATTTTTCAGAAGAAAAAAAATTTGAAAAATTTTGAAAAAAATGTTTTAAAACCTGATTCTGCAGTCAGAAAAAAATAAATAAATATACAATTTGTAGAAATTATTGTAATCATCAAAATTTTAAACATATTCATATATAACGGTATTATAGTTTTAACTGTGTTGCTATGGAAACAATTTCATGATGATACACAAGATTAAAACAATTTTGAAAAAGTTTCAGTTAGTTTCTTAAATGTGCACAAAAGTAGGAAAACTAAAACAAGTATAAATAATTTTGCTAGTATAGTATATCGATAATGGTGTTACCACTTGAAGGAAACAAATACAATTCTCTAATCTGGATAAAAGTGCTGATTATATAGAAATTTCAGTCTGTTTTCATGATCATGAAAAAATATACAAGAAAAACTAGAAAAAACAAATAAAATCATTGAAAAAATTAAATATTCAATTGTGCAATATTTGCCATTGAATGTGTTGCCATGGAAACAAGCAGTCCATTTGCAAAAAAACTGATAAGTGCTAATTTTTCCAAATTCGTTTAATGAACTTCGATACATATAGCAATGAATGTATACAATTTTGCTTACATTATGCATGTTTTCTGGTATTTAGGAAATATTAATAATATTCCAGGCATTATTAGTGATAGTGTTGCCATAGAAACAACAAATTATATGCATAAACTTGGATAACGCTTTAAAATAGACTAAATCTCTCATACAAAAACTCTCTTCTGTTGTAAGTTTTCAATTGAATGCAGTGTCAAAGAATGATGGTTTTTACAAGTCATTCCATCAACTGTTATTCAAATGCTGTAGTGAAGATTAAAGATCAAAGTACCACTTGGTGTTGACCGTTTGGAATTATAGCTACTAGCTCCTACTTATTTATACATAATATTAAGAAGATACAATCAGAAAATTTACAGTTCAAGAAAGGCCAAGCTTAAAATTGTTTGTTTGAGGCACAGAAATAAATACTTATCACAAATGAAAATAATCAATATCGTTTAGAGGGGGGGGGGGGGGGGGGGGGGGGGTAAGATTATGTTAAAAAGAAATGATCGATTAGTTGTGGTTTGCTTAATGTCCAGTGTCAAACATCTCATGCATGTTTCAGAAGAGAACAAAATCAATAGATCTAATAGGAACATTGTAGGTCCTGTGCTAGTCTACTGACCAAAAATTAATTAAAGTCAATAATTTGATACAATTCAACACAATAAAAAATAGAACCAAAAGAGTCAGACGTTGATCCTCTAAATAAATGATAATTGACCATCTAACCTTTCTATAAAGGAAAAAATACATTTATTATGAGCTGTTTATTTTTCTTATTAATTTTTAAACTTAATGTTGAAATGACAAAGCATGTATAGCTATACGTTTTGAATAATATTGTATTATTGGATGATGAGTATCTACATGAAGATCATTTTTGAGGTGAAGTTATAAAAAAACAGAAAATTTCAAAAAGGTCCTGCTATAGGGGTAGGCTGAGGTGAAGGCGGACAATTTGAAATATCACTTGAAATCGGGATCAATTGGACAAGTATAGAAATTTCAATAGGTCAACTAGGGAGCCTCTAAAAGAATTAACACAAGGGTTCTTAAGCAAACAAAGGGCGTAACAAGCAAGGGCGGGTACGGTCGGTCGTCGACCCGATGGTCCCTGCTATCCATCCGACACATTTCTTGTTTGACGTTCTGGCCGGGGAGGAATTTTAGAGATTTTCCAAAAAGTTCCGTTTCCCAACGAAGACCCGCGGAAAATCTGTCAGTGGGTGACTGCGGGTCTTACAACGAGCAACAGGAAATATACCTTCTAGACAATTTTCATATAAAGGGCCCCACTGACTGCCTTAAGAGATGGTCCGCTACATTCATGCTTCAGTGATTCCATATGTAATCAACAAAATGTTTCCAATGAAAGGAGGGGGCGGGCCTGCAGGACCCCCTAGATCCGCCTATGGTAGCACTATATTAACATGAGTAATAGGCATTGGATTATTGAAATTTGAGAAAATAACAATTATCTTAATGGATTTTTAGCAGCAAATTAAAAAATATTGACCATATGATAACTCTTTACACAGGGTAACTTTAAAAGAATTATATACATGTACATGTACTTTGATTTTCACTGAAAGCCCATTACAGAAAGATGTTTCTCAAAATTAGTATATTGTCTTTCTTTAAAAAAAAATTTAAATTTTCCTTTGAAACAGAAGTCAATGTTTATAAGATATTTACATGTGACTTTTTGTCCGCGCGACTTTTTGTCTGTTACTTTTTGTCTGTGACTTTCTGTCCTACATTCTGACCGTTATCATGACCAGGAAAAATGACTTTATACCTATTTATTTGTAATAGGCTTTGCATCAAATTTATAGAAACACTTAGATTGAACCATTAATTTTTTCAAATAAGAAAATATAAAATGCTTTACAAACATATTAGCAAACGATAAATGTATTGACTTTCTGGAACATTTAAAACTAAGACAAGGCTCTGACAACCCTCAAGTTAAGTCCGCGAACATGTTTACTTATATTTTATGAAAATCTTTTTAAACTACCAAGATATCGTGCATGCAGGGGCTCGGCCATACCTCATGTTGTCCGCGAAATGTTTACTTTGGTTTATATGAATATATTTTAAACTACCAAGATATCCTGCCCAAGGCTCGGGTAGTCTTAAGTAGTACGTGGAAATAATTATTTACTCTAAGAAAATATTAAAAAACAAACTATATTGGATTTATCAACTTACATGTATTTATGGCCTACTTCAATCACACCTTTTGTATGTTACTTTATATTTGTGATCAAACGTGTCAAATTATAACCGGTAATATACAACATAATTTACAACACAGTTAAATACAATATACTACTCAATACCATAAAAAGTTTAAATAATCCGATGCTCGTCATATTACCCTAAACTGTTTTTCCCAGTTTTTTACCATTCAATCTTAATGTTATTTTGTTATAAATTTTAAGCAAATCCTATAAGATATTAATAAGTATTAGGTAGTACATGTACAACTACCAGCACATTCAACGTTGGTCATGTCAAGTTTTTTTCACCCCAAAGCATATATTTTTCCTGTTTTTTTTTTAATAATATAAACTAACACAGAAATTTCTGGCGTAAATACAAATTTTAATCCTGGTATCTATGATGAGTTTATTTTCATCGGTCAGGTCATTGCTGTTGTTGGTCAGGTAATTGTCAACGTTAGAAAGGTCAGGTTTTCTGAATTTTTCTGAATTTTTAATATTTTTTTCTATATTTTTTCATTAATTTATATATATTAAATGATCAAATTTTATTATATTTCAAATTTAACATAAATCCTTTAAGAAATAAAAAAGTTATCAGCATTTTCATTTGGTCCTGTCATTGTGAGCGTTGGTCAGGTCACGTTTAATGAAGATTTAAAAACGTTTTCTCTATTTTTCTTATATTTATGTATTAAATGGTCTAAATTTATAACAATTCAAATTTGACATAAATCCTTTGAGAAATAAAAAAAGTTATTAGCGTTTTCGTTTTGGTCCAGTCATTAGTGTAACCCACCAAAGGGAGACAATCCGTATTGTTAGGAATATTGCACAATGATCATTTTAGAAATTAATTTCGCATGTTTCTATGTAGATTCCCCATAAGTTTTTTTGATTTTTGACTAAAACAAGACTGAAATTAATT